ATCAGGATGTAATTCTGCACATTTGGTGAGATGGAGGGAAGGCTAACTCAACTGACAGCCTTCAGTTCATGGGTGGTGACAGCACTGCTCTCAAGTGAAATCTGGAACCTACTACTCCTGAGGGATATAGAAAGAACTCATTCAGCTAGGTTTTGCTTTCACCTGGAAAATGGCCACTAGCAGGACATTAGCAGTTTCCAAAATTATTTCACAACTGTAATTTTCCACTTAAACCACATTAATATTGGAGTACGATGGAGATGAATACTAAGGTACACATTTCTGATTCTGGAGGTAGTTTCAAGACCTGGGTCAGGAAGCAATATAACCTTATATAACTCCAGTCTTATGTATGTACCCATACTCGAATTTCTGACAGAGAGATACAGAATTTGTTTTGTTGATAACATCTCCTCTTTCAGCTGTGATTTCTTGTGGTTTGATGTGAAACTGCAAATCAGGTTTCAGCTATTATTAAATGTACTCAATGCGCTAATACCAAATGACACCAAAGTGTGTTGCGCAGTTACAGTGGGACTGTGGTACCCTACAGTCAAGGTTTGTTTTATCTGGAAGTGTAAAAAGCTCTTGCAAATAATGAGCAATAAATTTAATGGGCTGTTGATTTACTGCATATATCTAATTTCTGTGTATGTTCTCTCAGGATCATTTTCATTGATTGGGCTGATTTGACTTTATTTTGGAGAAGAAGAGGTGAAATTACTATTCACAGTAAATGGCACTTGGACATCACTCAGGCAGAGAGTTAACAGGAATAATTTCCTTGTTGCCTTACGTTCGTGACTACATTTGACTCATATCTTTCTATTTGTACTGCCTTCTGTGTGCTGCTGATTTCTTTACATTAGCAGAAAACTTTGCAATAGTTTTCAAGTTTTGTTATCAAGCACTGAATAATCTGTTCTCATGAATGTACTTAAAAATGTTAGTAATGGCGAAATTGCCAAAGCTAGATACAGAAATCTGTGTGTGTGTTTCCACAGAATTCTTCCATTCCCAAGTAGGGAATAAAGTAGTTAAGTTTCTATGTCAGTTTAGACATTGGCTTTTTTCTAGGGACAGCCAGTAATTGTACTGTTAGTCTTGGCATTGAGTTTCAACTTAGTGAGCTATGGAGCTAGGCCTTAGTCTTAAATGAATATAATTGAAATCAATGAGTCTTGTCTTTGACTTTATAGGGTTTGAATCAACCACTGAATGAATGATTTTGTACCAACAGTCACAGCAGTTACATACCTCCAAGATCTTTGGAGATGTCTTCTTGTGTAGAACTGAAATTGAGGATTAGGCTTTTACTGTTTTCGTGTGCTAATCTAAGCAGGAAAATGGGAAAAGCTATCAGTAGCCAGACATCCTACACTGTTTGTGTTCTCTGAACAAGAAGCAAATAAGGTATTAAATTCAGATGGCACTAGTGACAAAGCCAAAATGTTCTTTCAGTAGCTAAGAAATTACACTTCTGTATACTTTCTGTACAGCAATTATAACCATGGAAGGGAAGGTCAGAGTGACACTGCTTTAAAAAATATTTAGCAAAACACAGTCAAATTTTCAGTCCTCAGGAAACTGGGGGGGAATGAAAACCTTATTCTCAAACTTGAGACTTCTGCTAAACTTACCACCTCCGACTAACCAGGGCCACATCTGAATTATGTGACTTAAACCAGGGATGGTCTAAGCTCCAGGTTGAATAGCTCAAAGGTGTGCAAAGGAGCATGTCTGTGGATACATCATAGGACCCCAAGATGTTTGAGTTGTATGGCATTGCTGGAGAGGAGGCACCTTGTGCCGTTTAAATCCAGATCTATCTTCACCATTTCTATTTGCAACATTTTACATTCCCCTCATTAACGGAAAACAACATATCTCACAATAAAAAAAAACATTCTAGTTGCCATGAACGTTCTCTCTATCTCATCATATCTCATTGGAAGACTGTTGAAATAAGGATTTTCCCAGTCATACTTCTCTGTACAGGCTAGAAATGACGGAACTTTTAGTGATAGCCCTGTGAGCTGTCAAATAAGACTGAAAGCTGGTCCATAAGGCAGAAGCTCATAATACGGAAAGTTCTGATGGCACTAAGATGTTTGATTTTTGCGTTCCCACTAGTGCTCTGAGGTTCCTAGCTCTGTATTTTTATGACTGTTCTTATTTTATAGTTTTCACATCTCTGTCATTTTAGTGTTGCTGGAAAAAGATTCAAATGCTTTTGTCTCTGATCAGGATCCTGTCTGCTGAAAGTGTTTTGTTTGAAGGTCGTTCTTAACAGGACATTGTAGATAACAAGGTGTCAGCCATGTCTGTGTCTCTCTTTGTCTCCTCCATCTCCTCAACA